AAAGATGAGACTAAACTGTTCTCAAAATGGCTACCATCTTCTGAGCACTTACTAGGACTCACTTACCAGGACCGAGTAGAGTCCTGGATGGTGCAAATGGTTAACACAAGGCTGCTGACCAAAAAATTGGCAGTTTGAGTCCACCCAGAGGTGGCGTGTAAGAAGCAATGTACTTCTAAAAACCAGCCATTCAAAACTCTTACGAAGTACAGTTCTCCTTTTACACACACAGGGTCACCATGAGTTGGAACTGACTCTATGGGAACTGGTAGGAACAAAGTAAAGCACTTTTTATTTATCATCTCATTTAATCAACTCCTTAAGTGACTGGCCCAAGTTGAACACAACCAAAAACTCAGGAAATGAGAGTCAAATGCAGGTCTAAATCCTGTATTCAAAACCACTCTCTCATCTGAAAGCAGATGACACAAGTGCTTACCATGAATACAGGAGAGGAAAAGGGAAGGCCACAGAAACGTGGAAGCAAATTTATTTTTATAGTCATAAGCATTATGAGTATTTCATTCATGTATCTCCTATTCTTTTTTTACTCACAATACCCTTTCTTCAAAGTTTTTTAAAAAGAAATACAGTTCACACTCTGCCATATTCTTTTCCTTGAGGAGAAAAACTGACACAGCACCCAACTGTGGACCATTTTAAGAATGTCAAAATTAGACAGCCAAAGTAATAGGTGAAACTTCCATTCATGAGGTCCCTAGGGTACCTGTAAGGGTCCCAAAAAAGGATGGTGTGAGGAACCATTTGTAGGGATGATGGCCTAGAAAGTGTATGTGCAGTTTTTTAATTTACGTTTTTCACTGAAATTACAGGTGAAGAGGTAATGTTAAACGAAATCTTAGAGGGATAGCTATGATACTAGCAGGCGGCTACCGTTTCTTTCTTTCTGTCCAGCATTTGTATCCTCTATCTTGTAATACCATTTTCCTTCAACTTTCTCCAATATGTACAACACAAAGACCACTTAATCCTAATTCATTTTTTTGAAATTGATTTTTTTTTAAATGTTTTACTTTATTAATATTTTCACCATACTTGTTTGGTAATAATGTATATCATCATCAGGAGCTCTGGTGCCATAGTCAGCATTTGACTGTTAACCAGAAGCCTGGCAGTTCAAACCCACCAGCCACTCCTTGGAAGGAAGGTTGGGCAACCTACTTCCACAGAGATACTGCCTCAGAAACCCAAGGAGGGGTCACTATGAGTCGGAATGAACTCGCTGGCAGTGAGTTTGGTTTTTTTTTTCCTTTTTTTGGGTACATCATTATCACGTATCATGACAACACATTTGCTCAGTGTTTATTAATGATTGTTGGGGTAAATGTAACCCAGAACTAGCTTCCAAGTTCCTCCTATGGGCCAAATGAGGAGCTTATGAGTTTTATACAGGAAACAGCAAGTCATCTTTCCAACACTTCTGTTAGGCATTGTTCAAGTGAGGAACTGGAAGGTAAGGCAGGTTAAGTAGCTACAGTGAATGAGAGAGCCCAGATTTGAACTGAAGTTGGCCTTGACACAGACATTGTGTTTTTCCCATCATGCGATGCAGTACTGCCAAAGTTCAAATGCCTTTTCTAGGACAGTTACTTCCCAGTCAAATTTCAAATTTGCTGGAGAGCAAAAGTGAGTTGAGTGATCCATTTGCTCCAAAGGCTAGCATCACACTCAAATCTCTGCTTATCTAACAACAATCGATCTTGTCTGAATTTTTAAACATCATTTAAACACAGCTACAATGTACCCAGGACTAGCATGGCAAGCCAGCTTGCCCTCTATGTATATGCAAGGCTTATGAACTAACAGGCAATGCTTTGCTGTGGAAACAAAATGGAAGTGTTTTTGCATATCCAGGACCTCATGACTAGGGAGGGGGAAGGTGACTTTAAAAGGCAAGTGCTGAGTACAAATATCTACTTTTTCTTAATTCTTTTGTACTAAGAATGATTATTCTTAACTACCATTTTATTTAATTAAAAAAAAAAAAAGCTAGGTCTCAAATACTTTGGGCCCTGGTGGGCCTAGTTTATAAAACAGGTCCATACACATACCAAAAAAAAAAAAAAAGAAAGGTTTTGGTCAAAACTATAGAGGGTTCATGAATCCCTTGAAGCCCACTCATGGATCCCTGGAGGTCCAAAGAAACCAGGATAACCCTTGCTCTAAAAGCATATGGCAAAAATGCCTTCTTCATTTCACAGGCCCAGAGTAAAGACTTTAGAGCTAGCTCCCTCACCATTCTTTATACTTTGTGAAAGCAAATATTAAACAAACATTCAAACTGACTTCCTTTATTAGTCTCTCCTCTCTCAAAGAAACCAAAAATCTAATGATATGAGTACAGTAAATCAAAATCACTAAACTTACGGTCATTATGTAAGTTTAAAGTCCAAATTAGTTTTGTTACAACTTAAAATCTGCTACCTTCATTTCTGTGTTTCTGCCCACAGAGACCTTCCTAAAAATGAAACTTCCGTTCTAAAATATATTCTCGCTTCTATAAAATGTGTTTTCCTAACGTGTATGTGTGTATGTGTGTATAACATGAAAACAGCAATTAGAAAAATTCTTAAATGCTCAACACATCAATTTTTGTCAATGCATTTGTGAGTTATGTGGCTGGCAAAGTAGATTTTTAAAAAGCCGTAACAATTCATATTACAATGTGTTTCCCACTACTAAGGCAAGAACTTTCAGGAATGTTTATTTTCAGGTATATCTCATACTTTAAAGTTTTTCCAATACATCTTGATCTTATTACTTCAGAAAATTTCAAGGATTATCCAACAAAATTATGAATTACAAACTAAATTTACAAAAGTGTTTGGCCAGGGCTCTAACTATGAATAATTGATAGAATGTCACATGAAAATTTACAGTTACAGAGCAGTGATACCTTCCTATAAAATAATTAAAGCTTATTTTAAACAAGATACTGTTTCAAAATCAGTATTCTGATAAGACTAGTAACAACTTTAAAAAAATCATTTCTTCACTTGACAATTACCTTTTAAATAATAACTACCCCCACTATGGGAGCTCTGGTAGTATAGTGCCTAAGGCACTTGACTGCTAACCAGAAGGCTGGCGGTTCAAACCCACCAGCCACTCCTGGAAGGAAAATGGGGCAATCTACTTCCGTAGTGATACTGCCTCGGAAACCCAAGGAGGGTCACTATGAGTCGGGTTCGACTCGAGGGTACATAACAACAACAAATCCTAGGCAGATAATCAATTGACAGTTTATAATCAGTTGATAATCAGTTTACAGTTTGTAGTAGTTAAGAATTAAAGTAATCCTTCTTATGGTTATTTCTCTAAAACCAAGGAACTAAATAGAGTATGTATGATGCCACGTACAGCCAGGGTTTAGGCCCAATATTATTTCACATCCCACGGGAGGGCCAGTCAAATCTCAGAATCTTTACTCAAGGTAATTTAAAAGTGGAAGCTGCTGATTCTTGAGAGCACTGTAAACGACACTATTGAAGTTCTGGAGCTCATATGAATAAAATTTTGCATATGCCGACTTCTAGCTAGAGATTACACACTTTATAATTATACATTTGTATTTAGAAATCTTTCTCTTTGAATGTAATGAGGCAAAACGGGGAGAACTAGTCCAAATTTATTAAGAAAACGGAAACAACCAAAAAACCTGAAGCAACTGAATGCATCCTGCACAATTGCTTCATGCCGGATATGAATACGCAGAGTACTTGAAAGGCAGGAAAACTGGAAAATAACGACATAGCTCAATAAAATACTAAACCTAGGTTCAAAACTCTGACCTGCTTCTTGTGGCTAATTAATTTTATCTATCCCATTGGAGGTCAAATCAGCAGTTGGTGCCTGTTTCCTTGCCCACCTCACACCACTTAAATGTTACAATTTACGAGACCGTCGTAGAAGTTGAATCAAAGTGACTTTTGGAAAGGGATGCCAATATAATCTGCAGTATGCTCCGGTTATGTGTAACTCTACACACAAGGCAATGTTTCTTATTGAGTTCCCCCACTCCCTTCACTTTCAACTTCCCTTTAAGACAGGGACAGTCACATAAGACTTAAAAAAAATAAAAAAAATAAAAAATCAAAGTGAAAAAAGCACCACATCATGATCACCGACATGATTCCGGCTCCGTCGGTGAAGTGGGTACCCGAAGCTCTTAGCGAACTCCTCCCCGAGGCCGACAAGTTTCTTTCCCGTTTTCCCAGCATCGGCCCGAGTCCAGGAGAGAAGAGAGGGCGGCCGTAAGGGCCTGAATCTCGCGACCGGGAACCCCGGGCCTTCCCGTATTACCGGCCCCGCCCGGCTCAAGTCCCTGCGTTCGAGACCCGCCTGGGCGCGCGTGGGCGCCAACTTCGCAGGGACCCTCGCAGCGCGCCCCCTCGCTGCCCCTAGTCCCACGCCTCCCGGGTTTACCCGGGTCCAGGAGCCTCCCGCCTCTGCCGCCCTCACCACCCCTCTGCAGAGCCAGCACACCCCAGCAGCAGCAGCAGCAGCCCGGACGGGACGGCGGGACTGGGGTCGCCTTCCCGGGTGAGGCGAGTGGGGCCTGGCCCCGACCCTGGGGAGCTCGCAGCCCCCGCTGTGCCTCTGCAATCCCGGCAGCGCCCGGCAAGCTCACCTGGCGGCAGGCGGCGGCC